CAGGCTTGCCTGTCAATACTAGGTGCATTTCTAAGTTGACAGATATGAATATATACTAAAGTAATTGAAATGAACAATTTTAGTTTATCAGAGTATGCGCATAGCACTCACGGAGGCGTTTCGGGTTCGCTATTTACCACCGCTAGTGTATTATATGCTATTTATTCCTTATTTTATTTAGAAATACTCTGTCCCGAAGAGGTCACAGCAGGACAGCGTATACAGCAGGCAGATATAGTAATAAAATGTCACAGTTTGTAATAAACTTGTCACAAAAAAAACATTACAAAGAACGAGCAAGGAAGAGCTAATAGTATCATGGTTAACCTAAATATAAAACAGGCTAGCATAGGAAAAAACACACAATAGATTTTAGCAGAAAAAATTTCACGTACAGAAGAAAAAAGTGCTCGAGGTCAAGGTGTAAGCCGTGGTGCAGCAGCGCGAGAAGACCCATAACGTGGAACTTCAATTATGGGTAACAAAAAAATAAAAACAATAAAAATGAATGAACAAAAAACACGCAGGTAGATGTGGTTGCACATGTCGACGGGGGAAAAGTAAAAGAGAACTATGTCACCGTGTTGTGCCTTCTATTGCAGGTATGAAATTGGTTTATGATAACAAGAATTGTCGGAGTTTTACGGCCCTAAGCCACGATGTGGTTTTGAGGGGCGCCGTAATGAATGGCTCCGAAAGCTTCAACCAACTGGGGTTTTTTACGTTCGCCTAAATCTAAGCACATGGGCACCCACTTTTTCTCTTTCTATAGAATTCCGTTGCCGTGGCAGGAACGCGACTCTGCAACCTGCGAGTGAAACACCATAAGCACTATAGACCACCAAAGCGAGTTCAGTTACTTGTATACTTCCAGAGATATGTGGGGGATGGTTATTCTATTCTCGTGTAGTTAAGGGGAAAGACAAATTCTGAAAACACTACGCAGGTAGGATCAATTGTGTAGGCTTATATATTGTTGTGCGTGATTGAAAGTTAGTTATATAGCTAGTTGCGCCGTTATTTGCTTTGTTATGTATTCTTAAGCACACGAGGCATTCTTTTTCGAGGCGTTATGTAGTTATTAACACTTTGTACGCTTACGATTAGCATGCATGTGCTGTGTAAAGATGATATCAACTATGACAGTTGCACCATAACAGCCGGAGACGTGGACGGGATGTTCCTCCTTTTATTGTGAGTGAGAGGTGCAACTCTCTATCAATTACTATTGATATACTCCCCTGATTGGAAAGTAGGGACGGCGCCATTTCAAATTTCCTCTGACGGGGTCGTGGTAAACGCTGTAACAGAATCGCTTGTACGGCGAGCTTAAGGCCCAAACTCCATAAGCGCGAAAATGCACGCGACAGCGACGAGCGACGCGACGTAGATCGGCGTCGCGCGATCAGTCGCTAGCGCAGGCAAACCTCATTCACGCGACGGCTTCGGCGAGCGAATTCCACTGTTGCTGGCATGAGGCCGTCAACTCGCACCAAGAAAACCGCGTAGCGAGCGGTTTCCAATTTAAAAATAAGATATATTGTTGTGTAATGGAACGGAAAGTGTTTATTATTGCCTTGCAGCATTTTTTATATGCGCATGCTTAATAAACATTGCGTTATTTCTTGTTGCGCATACGTGACTCGGGCAGGGTCACGTGCACCTATGTAGTCTTCGTCTTTTCCGGTTTTTCGCTATTGGCTGCTTGAGCCCAGCACTTCCGGGCGATGAGCGACGGTTTCCAAATCTGGAGAACCGAGCGATCGCGCGAAAACGAGCACGCGACACGTCGCGCGAACGCCATGTTTCGTCGCTCATAGCGTCGCTCGTCGCTGTCGCGTGCATTTTCGCGCTTATGGAGTTTGGGCTTAAAGTGAATTCAATTATTCACACGCTTCTTTTATTCCAGGTCGACAACTAAGGCAACAAAATGACGTATTACTTTACGGGCTTCGTGAGGAGCCCTGGAGGACTCCTCAAGATGATCCAAATCGTAAGAAATTTATCTTCGTTGGTGGAAACATGATTATAATATATATAGGCAATGAAGATTTCTTATAAAAATGTTATGACAGGCAGGTACCTGTCGTCTTTGCGCAAAAACTTTTCGTTGAGGCCGCAGCTAAATTTGCACTGGAATGTCTAAATAACGAAAACTTTTAATTACAATTTAGCGATGTACTTAAGGGCACTTTTGAAAAAAAAGTAGGTTCCATTTTTTTGAAGTCATAGAAATTGCACGCATTTTGAGATATTCATAATTGAATTTCAAAGGCAATGTGGAAACAAAGCGAACCAGGCTCACAGGAATGAGGGCCGCTCCCTGACGTCACACTGGCACTTCAAGAAGCACTGGCGTCAAATTTACTAATGCTAAGATTTTTTGCATCAACGAGTACATATAGAACCCGTAGCAGCGATTGGCGACCTAAAACGCAACTGATCGATGAATAACTATCACTTTTATTGATTTATATCACTGGTATCTAGTACGATTCAAAACGGCCGGCAATCCCACCATATTTAGCGCTGGGAGCGCTACCAGTGGCGTGACCTCGCGGTCACCTCCAGATCGTGCCACAGCTGACAACTTCTTTGCAGAAAAGAGTGACGTCAGGCTCAACTGCTCCGCAAACATTTCGTCTGCTAGGCGGACACATTTAGTCATGTCTTCTCACCTTCATGGCCGTAATCGCCGTACAAAGTTTATACTCAGGTTGAATAGGATAGTCTGGAGCTTGGAATCCCCACGATTCGCGATGTCGCGAATTATTTTTGCTTCGATCGACCCTTTACATTACAGCGATTCCAAAATGGACGCCGTTCCAAGCAGCACTGAGGAGGTGCCCAAGGATGCCATGTTCACTCGTGTCTCATGCAGTTAGCTTTATTGGTGTGTTTTTACGTGCACGGCATTCAGGTATACGCAAAGGGGTCAATGGAATGTCGCTATCGGGAATGAGCATCATTGGAGAAATGGATACGTTCTTTGTTTTCCGTGTTCTTCTTTGCACCTCCAGATGGCCCCACCTATCCAGCCTTTCGCGGTTGTGGCGGCAGTAACCCGGTATTACGTGGACGAAGAAGTCTACAGACGAAGTAAAATTCAACGATGCCTTCGCGTTACTTGCTAGTGATAGTATCTGCCTAAATGCTGTTCCACTTTGATAGTTTGTGGTCTTGTCGGCGTGTAACACATACGTGATATGAAAAGACACCCTCATGGCGCTTTTTCCGCGCTTCTGACGAGACGACTGCAACTCGGAATGGTTCCCCGGCATGCTGACCGACAAGCACACGTTGAATCATGCTCGTTTTTTTCGGCGTTCTTTTAAAGGTGGTTTGCATCTTGGTAATTTCACGAAATCATTTAAAGCGATGCGACGAAGATCAGACGTGTCGAGCGAGTGCGTTTCTAGGCTTCGGCACCCGTCAGCGCCAGAATAAGAACACTCGTTAAAGTAGACGTCATTGGTACTAGTGCATTGTCACTCGGGATGGTATGTGTGGAATGTATCACACCGAACACATATCACAAGTGTCGATGTCACAGGGCACTCCATTTTCACTATACTTTCGTACGCTGTTTGCCGTCGAAATAAAATAAGTTCCACGGGACAGATTCTATTCCAATTTTGCCAAGACGACCTATGCACACCGAGCAATCGCAGGAAGGGCATATCTCGATTCTGAAATTTTAAAGGGGTCCTGCAACACTTTTTCAGCATGGTCAGAAAATGCTGCTGATCGGTAGTAGAGGCTCCCGACAACATGCGAGCCAAATATTGTAGCACAGCACGCGGCTTAAAATTCACAATAAATTGTAAAAATCAGCCTGAAATTGCGTTCTTTTTTCTTGAAAAATCCCGTTATATGCTGAAAAATCAAACGTCAACGACCCATCTATCAGCCATTGGCTGATTTGAACATGGCGTGCTCACTCGTTACAGAGATCGCCAATGGAAGCCGCTGCTTGTCCACGCCTGCGCGCGGGATGACACTGAAAAAAAGCCGCAAATTCTAATAAAGAAAAAAAAGTGCTTAAGGTCGCAAAGCGCGTGACGTTTTTCGGTGGCCCTGCCATCCCTCCCTGCTTAGCTTCCAGCGCTTTAGTTGGGACGAAAGAAGAGAGAATGCAATTGCAGCATGCGACAAACCTTTGTAACTTCACTCGCACTGGACGGATTCCTAAAATTTTTGCGGCGTTGAATTCGTGAGGCAATAAGCTCTTCCAGTGAATTCATTCCATGGTTATATGAAAAAGTGTTTCAGGGCCCCTTTAAGTAAGCTAGTGACGTAAAATTTGAATGAAGGCGTGTAGAAGCAGAATGTGGTCAAGAAAATTACAAGTCATCTGACGTACGCAAGTATATATATATATATATATATATATATATATATAGCGCAAATTTTTGCGTGTGTTATGTGTGGCTTAAGCTTTCTTCCTAAATTATAAATAGGCGCCAATTACTAAAAGAAGCGCCGTGGTGGCTACCCCCGATTTTTATGCTGGCCTTGAAAAAAGTGGTGTGTGGAACAAGAACTCAAGTGACCTTGTGCAAGATGAGAGATAAGAATCAGTGTTCAAGCCCGAATGGCAGTCAATTATTGAACCCTCAAAGCCGTTCCAGCGCATGAAGTTTTTTCGGAAACACAACCTGTGCAGTTGCGATGTTATTCAGAGTCACCTTAACAATATTGCGTGATTATGCGAGATGTAATAAGCGCAGAACCGTACGAGGCGTCACACTCCGAAGTACATAACGAGTGGTAAACCTGCCCACCCATAATTAGTAACGGTCAGCAGCAGTCACAACATCAACACAGTAGGCAGCTTCGTTGGTGCACTCATTGCCTTATGTATACGTGTAGTTGGTCCCTCGCCACTTCACGATACGGTTAATTTACGGACAGTAAAAGCGAAGCTGCTGTTCAATAGAGCTGTTTTTGTGAAGCCAGATGACACGATAATTAAAGCGAGCCTGTGTCCGCAGCTCATCGGTTTGGTGCTGATGTTAATACTGATGGGGGGACACTACGACATCAGCACGGGCCTGTACCGCCTTCGTATCGATGCATTCCTGATGACCATGACCGTCTTCACCTTTGTCCTCACGTCAGCTCTTCTTCTGATGTGCACCATCATGGGCTCGACAGAGCTTCCGAACTCTGTCCTGGTAAGCGCACGCCTTCAAAATGCCTCATACCTGCAAAGGGCTATCTGCAGTGGCGTAATCAGGTTTTTATGCGTATATCATTTGTTTAGCTACTTTGCGTCACTTAGATACGACCGTCTCATCATATGTGGCCTCGAAATGACGTCAACGCTACTTATCTAAACACTCAGCACCACCCGCAGTTTTGGCGGTCTGTCTAAGCGCAAGTTACGTCGCTCATACGCTCTTGAGTGACGTCAGCTCAGTTCATCGCATGCACTGTTTACTAATAATTGTTGGGATTTAACGTCCCAAAACCACTGTATGATTATGAGAGGCGCCATAGTGGGTCTCCGAATAGTTTTACCACCTGTGGTTCTTTAAAGTGAACCCAATCAAAGTACACAGGCCTCGAGCATGCATATTCGCCTCCATCGAAAATGCGGCCGCCGCAACCGGGACTCAATCCAGCAACCTGTGGTTCAGCAGTCCACGCCATAACCACTAGACCCCGGGGGCGAGTTTACGCCTCTTGAGATGGAGCAGAACACCGCATAAGAATGTTTCGAAAACAATTTTGAACAATTTTCTTCTTGAAGGTCAGCGCAATTTCACATCACTCATAAAAAAGTGCCCTTTATTCATTGTTCAATCCAATGTGGGGACAGATCTGTGCTCTAAAAAGTGTTTCATCATAGTCGAGTTCGGAGCAATGTTACCTTTCGGTATAGACTTAGAAAGATGCCAAACTCAATCTAAAAGGAGCTAAAAGTAGCCATGTCGTCTAATTTTAGCACTAAATTTGTAGCCAAATAGAAAAAAAAGTGGTATCATATTAATTGAGGTTCTATATTTTCATCAGATAATAATACGATTTTAGTAGTAATAAGAGTAAAAAAATATGAACCACGAACAAAACGCAAAAACACTAATGGTGCTGATTTGTTTATATCATTCTTATAGCTAGGCCTAGAGACGCTTGAAATGAGAAGATTTTTGAAAAACTAAGCTAACTTATCCATAATACCCGGTCATCGAAGCTAACTGATGGCAAGCGAAGTCATTTTAAACGGTTGTTTGCTGCGAGCAAAGTGAATCTTCCAACAACTGCGCCAAAGTCTCTTCGACGCGGGTGTCCGAAAGCGCCGCCATATTTTACGCACACTACCTACACCACGATAACATGTTAACGTTGAATCTGAAAAATAGCATGCGTACAGTGATCGGTAGGAATCACGTACGTTACTGCGCATGCACACTTCGATTTTTCTATCCTGGTAAGCCGACTATCCCGCTAAGCCCGGGAAACGATAACTGTCTAATAACATTCACAAACGTTGGACCGTACCATGACGTCGTCGTACATCGTCGTGGTAGACATAGGAAGAAAGCGGGACGGAAGCTCAGCACTGGTATAGTATCTGAGGCATTGACCAGACAGGACAGACTAACGGCATGGCTCGACCGCAGCGGAACACGCCGATGCTGGTTGAACACTTGACCGAGGAACACAAGCCTTGGGTAACGGCACAGCTGACGACTGTGGACGCGGGTTCTCCCCCAGCAGCTCAGGCTGGCCTTACCACCCACTGACCAGCTTGGGAGACACTCATAAGCGTCTTTTTTTCTTCACCGCCTCACGTGATATACACGCCACGACGCAGGCCACGGCACACGCCATGACACACGGCACGCAAAAATTATCACACTGATGTACTATTGCCTGACAGGAGCGTATACACGCAACTTGCGTCGCGTCATATAAATTGCACAACGAACGGGTGTTTCAAAGCTGCCCTCATAGGAAGGGCTCGACCATAATTCATCATGATCAGCATCCGCAGCAGCAGCCACAGCACCCATACAGTATGCTCCTACTTAGGTGCACACATCGTCTTACATGCATGCGCGTGCTGCATTTGCTGCCTCGCAGAATGATGAATTAAAGCGTAGTGGGTTCTTCCCAATTGTATTCGCTGTACCAGATTTTACGACGGGCTGTACCGCTTACAGCTTAGCAACACCGGGTGACTTGCGCATTCTAGGCACTCTAGGCGAATGGATGAGTTTTTAGTCCTTGCTTGTGTCAAGGACATCTTATTTATAAGGTTCCATGCGCCCTACCTGAGACAAATATTGACTCTTTTTGTGATTTGTATTTATTTGCAGTTACTTATGGTCACAGACTGCGATAATTTGGCGTTCCCTTTCTGCCGGGTGCACGCAGCCTGTTATAGATACGTTATAGAAAGGCTACATCTGTCGTGCCGTGGCTCCATAAGAGTGTCGTCCACACCTCCGCGTGGTTGACCTATGCTCATCAACAGAGCATTCGTTGTTAACGCGCCTTTGCAACATGGTTTTTTCTAGAGTTACATCTATATGCTACCTAAGGGAGTTATATACAGCATTAACGCTGTTTCTTCCACTAGTATGGCTGCTACCTTTCCCTAGAGTTACATCCATGTGCTACATTGAAAAGACTCTAAAACACTTTTTCAAGTAACCATGGAATGAATTCACTAGAAGAGCTTATTGTATTCAACACCCTGAAAATTTTAAGAATCCGTCCAGTGCGAGTGGAGTTGCAAAGATTTGTCGCATGCTGCAATTGCATTCTCTCTTCTCTCGTCCCGACGAAAGCTCTGGAAGCTAAGCAGGGAGGGATGGTAGGGATAATAAAAATACGTCACCCATGCCTCGACTTGGAGTACTTTTTTTTTTGCGGCTTTTCCAGTTTGATCGCGTGCGCACGCATGGAAAAGTCGCGGCCTCCCGCGGCGATCTGTGTAACGACCGAGTGCTCCATGTTATAATCAGCCAATGGCTGATGGGCTTGCTGCGAGTGATTTTTGAGCGTCTTTTGTCATTTGTCGAGAGAAGAGAAACCAATTTTTGGCTGACTTTGATAATTTATTGTGAACTCCAGGCCGCGTGATGCGCAATAATATTTCGCTCGCGTGTTGTCGAGAGCCTCTACTACCGATCAGCAGCGTTTTCTGACCATGCTCAAAAAGTGTGGCAGGGCCCCTTTATATGGGCCCTGCCACACTTTTTGAGCATTCATGAGTGTTTATGTTTTTGCCACCAGAGACTCCACAGGCCATTTTTCGAAATTTTCAATGAAGGAATAAAAATAAAAATTCACTTTTCACAAGAAAAACAGTGTTGGTTTGAGTCACTTTAAGGGACAATCTTTCCATTCGTGCAGTCATCTCATATAATGTTCTGGGCAGTTGTCGGTCCCTTTAAGAAAGGGTTTCATGCTGGGGTTCACTACGGTTCCGCTGACGAAATTCCGCCACAGAAGTGGCGTTGAAATATATACGGAGAGATTGCAAATACAAAAACACTAAGGATTCATCGCGTGGAATCGAACTAAGAACCTCCAGATTTTTATCGCAGGGCGCTAGCCACTAAGCCACAACGCGTGCATTGTTTGGATCGCTAACGGCAAGTCATTTATATACACCATACACCGTTTGGCAGTGCTCAGAGCTTCGAAACTTTAGTGCGTTTTCGTTACCAGTTGCGAGATGGCGTGACGGGCTCGCACTGGGCGCGCTCTTAAGTTCGTCACCTCCACGAACCCCCTTCTCCGCAGAGCGTGGTTTCTGCTGCGCGTGCGCTTATCAGACTCGTAATTCGGGAGAAGACGAAGGTTACTTCCAGGGTTGCGGAACGGACGCCTCCATTCCATTCCATTTCCATTCCGGGGATTTAGAGATTGGCGTAATTCCATTCATTTCAATTATTCGGAATGAAAGAACTTAGCCCATTACCACTCCTGGAGTGGCTGGCCAGGTCAATTATATTCCTACTATTCCTCAACGTAGGAGAGGCGTCTTGATAGCGTTATCGAGCTAAGAATGAACGTCCTATAAAGCTGATGTCATGAGATGTATATGAACTGCAAAAGTACGCAAAACACGTTACCACAGTCGAGGGATAGTAGCTTGGTGACGTATCTCGGGCAGTACAACCACACTATAATTACATAGGGGTAGTTCTCCCTCTACCTATAGTATTGGCATGGTCAGCACACTCACAGCAAAAAAAAAAAAAATGTTAGTAAACAGTTGGCAACGCATCTACTTACTTGTTTTGAGCGTATTTTTTACTACCTTGGTGGCATCTCTCGACGGTTTCGCCACAGTCTGCCGGTATCTGGCAACATTGTGCACTCACCAGAAAACTACCCCTGGAAACTTCTGGTTTAGCTTGTTTCTGCGTGGTTTTAGTCCTTTTTGCTGGCCGTGACTGCTTGTGTTCCGATGTTTTACGCGGATAAAATTATTCAGATTAAGCGATAGCAACTCGGGCGCAGCTGTGTCAAGCTAAGATGCAGTCTGCAAGTTTGAAATAATTTAATACGCTAGTCAAATCGTTCTGTTTTTTGACCGATGACGATAGAAAGAGCGCCTGCATTCAGCGATCACACGAGAAAACTGGATTCCCACCAAGAGCACGTAGGTTTGTTCTGCCCACTTCATTAAATGCAATGTAAAGCTCGGCGCAGACTTATGGCACAGAGGCGATAATCAGACGTTAGGCTAGTCGAAGGCCCCCAGTTGCCGGAAACACATCGGTCGCTGTCGTGTTACATCCATGGCAGATGAGTGTACTGACGTCTGACATGGGTATCAAAACGTGAAAGATAACATTGAAAATCCATCGCAAAGGCGTTTCTTTTATAGTTAGATAGACATCAATGGTGTGTACTGTCCGAAGGAACCATGGACACAAAGGAGCCACGCTCAACATGAATCGCTGCACAGTGAACGTCATAGTGTTCACGCTTCGTTGCCGTTTTATTTGATTTTTTTTTGCAAGCGACGCCGGCGAGTGGGCTCTCATCTGTTCGAGTAAATTACTTATCGCCTGTTTTTCTTCCATTAGCGAAAATCGCCGCATTCTAGCTAATTTATATATCAGTGTGAACATGGACTGTATGTTTAGGTGGGTTCAACTTGAAAGTTTGATTATTCAATACTTTACACGTAAGGAAACTATAACAGTTC